CTCTGGTACTGTATTAGAGTCCTGATGTGACACTGCAGGATCAGCACTGGATGCTAACCACAAGGTCCGTGATTCAAACCCATCAGCTGCTCCTTGGAAATCCTATACAGGGTCACTTGGAACCGACTCTGCAGCACTTAGCAACAACAACTATAAAATTAATACTGAAGCATCTTAATACAACATCATTATTGTTAGGTGTGGTACTGTGGGTTAATGTGCTAGACTGCAAAGTCGGTTTGAACCGCAAGGTAATGATTCAAGCTCACCAGCTAGCTGCTTCTCAGAAACCATCCTGTACAGGGCCGCCATGGGTCGGAACTTACTCAAAGGCACTTAACAACAACAACAAGGGGGTCCCGGTGTTGTGCTGTAGAATAAGCACTGCCCTGTAAGTTCGGAGGTTTGAACTCACCAGCCAATCCTCTGAAACCCAATATGTTGTTGTTGTCGTTAGGTGCCATCGAGTCGTTACCGACTCATAGCGACCCTATGCACAACAGAACGAAACACTGCCCAATCCTGGGCCAACCTCACCACTGTTGCTACGCTTGAGTCCATTGATGGTGCTAGGGACATTGTAAGTTGGAATCAATCAATCACAGTTAACATCAACAACAAAAGATTTTAAGAGGTTAAAAGAAAAGGAAAGAAAAAAACATAAAACGGTCAGTGTTTATGGAGTAATTTTGCTTTCCATACATATATCACATATTAAAACTTTTAAATTCTGAATGTTAAATTATAGTGCCCACTTAAATAATATTGGCTTTATTATCTCTTTTATGCACTTTGATTGATGTAAATACTGAAAAAGCATCTCTCTACCTAAATACTGTAAAAACAGTTTTATATTTCACCTATGGTTCAAAATATGTTATTGAAATAGAAATATGGACTTGTCCCCATTACAAACTATTGTCAAGTTATGAAAAATGTAATCATTACAATACATTATTATATTTAAGCATAAAAGCTCTGAATTGCCATCTTTGTCATTGAGTGGCATATTTTAAATGAAGAGTAATATCCCAGGTCTCCTTAGAAAGCTTAATGCTTAAAAACAATTTTATCTAGCGATGAACAATGAGAAAAAGCATTATAAAATACATTTTGAGTATGCTGTGAAGAATATGAACATAATACAGAATTAAATTTAGAGCAATTAAGAGTAGATTTTGAAGATTTTTCTTAAATGGTTTAATATAGTCATCATCATTTCAGTTTTCTGTTTTAATGAAAAGAAGCTGCATGCACTGACTTTTTTTTTTTTTTGATGGGTATTATTAAATAAGTATGCATTATCTAGCAGTCTATTTGGTTACCCAAAAGTTGAGGAGCCTCTAAAAGTAAACACAAATAGTGGCTTTAGTGATATTTCTGTACTGAGATGTACTTTGATGGTGAGTGTTGTAACGTGCTAAATTCTGAGGTTTGAGTACAACAGAAACCATACTGTATTGAGACATTCCACCTACAGTTTGTGGTCATGAAGTCTGATTAAGGGTGCTTTTAGATATGTGAAAGTATTTAGGGTCAGTGCTTTGACTATATTCTTTGACGCATTTCATTAAATAAAATACCAATGTACAGGTATATTTGTATAACTATAAATACCAATGTACAGGTATAATTGTATAACTATAAAATGCTGAAATAATTGTGTATAGATCTGTGTAATTACTTATTATGCTTCTTTATATGCTCCAAAAAGAAAATCTTTAGATCATCCTTAGTATCAATCATGACTCAATGTGAATGAACCAGAATTTTAGAGGTTTCTAAAGTAGTGTGATATAAAAATCAGATATGTACTCAGATAACATATATTAGCATTATTTTTATCAGATGTACTTGAATAAGACAATCAATAAACATAAAATGGTAGGTGGGATATTAGCAATTATTGCAAAGGAAAACTGCCCAGGTTGAAATTGCATCTGAGTAGATAATGACTAGCTGAATTAGCCTGGTTACTATCTAAATGCTGAATTTTCCAAAGGATATGATCAGTGGGGATACCACAACACAGTGTTATCTTTTTATCAACAACAGTAACAACCTCAAATACTCTTAATCAGTAGATGCTTAAAGCCACCAAGACAGATATATTTTGTTAGTTCTTGTTTTTCCTGCATGTCAACTAAGAAAGGGAAGTAACTATGATTTATTGGGCATCTACTTGAAATTACACACTATGATTGATAGATTATTGTCACGCGCGAAGGAGCTCTGGTAGCGTAGTGGTTACGAATTGGGCTGCTAACCTCAAAGTCGGCAGTTCGAAACTACCAGCTGTTCCGCTGAAGAAAGATGAGGCTTTCTGCTCCCATAAAGATTTAAAGCCTCGGAAACCCTGTGCAGGGTCACTATGAGCCAGAACCGACTCCACAGTACTTAACAACAAAGTGGCATCAAGTTGGTCCCGACTCAGAGTAACTCTCTTTAAGGTTTCTAAGGAGCGACTAGTGAGTTTAAACTGCTGACCTTGTGGTTAATAATCCAGTGCTTATCCTACAGTGCCATACCAGGACCCCATATTTGATATAGTACTTAAATTATTTCACACAATCCTTAGGGCAATGTTGAGAGTAAGCATTAGCTTCATTTTAAGAATGAAAAACTCAGAGAGGTTAAATGAATTTCTTATTAAGCATTTGGCTCCTAACTAAAGGCTGGTGGTGCTAACCCATCAGCTTCTCAGTGGGGAAAAGATGTGGCAATTTGCTTCCATAAAGAATCCCTGTGGGGCAGCTCTAGTCTGTCCTGTAGGGTCCTTAGGAGTCAAAATCCACTCAATAGCTTTGAGTTTGGTTTTTTGGTTTAGTAAATACCAGAGTCAGTGTCCTAATAGCAGGCTCTCTGAATCCAAACCCCATGTTCATTCCTCTCTACAATGTTGTCTTCAATGCCAATTAATTATAAAATAGTATAATTATTAAGCAAACTACACACTTATGTCCTTATAGTTATGAGTTATTCAAATATATCATGAGGATTTGCATACATTTTATGTAACATATCAATTTTATATTTCTAAAATTTTCACTTAACAAATTTCCCTTATTCATTTTTTATGCCACACACCTTTGTTGTGTGCCCATTATGTGTCTCCTGTTCTAGGCACTGGAACAAAATAAAATGCAGCACTAAGCAAAATTAAATCAGGGAGCATGCCATGTCATGAAAGAGACATACATTCAACAAATGATCCCACAAAAAGATACAAACCATAATATGTGCTAAGTGCTATTAAGGAAAGGTAAAGAAGGGTAGGTAGAACAAGAATTACGAAAGTATGGAAGACTGACCAGAATGGAAGTTCAGTTTATTCATCTGCTAACACCTGGTTTCTTTCAACACATTTATTTAGGCATGTGGGATGGTAGGGATTCAAAGTTAACTGTGAAGTTTCTAGTTTAGGGGACTGAGTTTATGGTGAGATGGGGAATCTAGAAGGTATAGCAGATTAAGGGGTGAAGATAGTGAGTTTGGAGTGTCAAGATTCCTAAGACATTTAAAAAGATATAAGACTGTAGGAAATCCAGTGGGTGTCTAAAGACTAAGAGTTAGATAAAGGAGTGTTTAGTAATGATGTACAAAGAAGTAACAGATAAAAGTGAGCTTCCCTATACAAGATGAGTTGGATTTGAAGGTAAAGAGAAAAATATCAAATAGTTCCTACTGAAAACAATAGCTAAATTAGCAATTGTGTGCCTCAAAACCCTGTTTCTGAAGAACAGTGGTAAATGCTTCTTAAAACAAACAAGCATGCAACCTATTCTACCAGCAATGTCTTTGGGGGAACACGTTAAAGTTTAAAAGGTTTTTCAGACTTTAATATACTTATGTGCCCCATTTCCCAAATGTATTGGGCCGTTGAACTTTCTCTTAAGGAGTATTTTACAAGAGTAGTGTTCTACGTAAGACCCACTGGGAAACACGATTGTTGTTTAAAGATTTATAATTAAGAATGTTCTTGACTTTTGGGTGAGCAGGCTGGAATGACTGATGAGAGTTTAACCAAGAGAAGGATTAAATGAAGAATCGTGAACTATATATATTCACATTGGTTCGATTGGTAGGTAGGAAGTGTTCAGAGACGTTGTTTATTAGGAGCAAAGCAGTAGGAAGAGTGACGTTTTAAACATCGGGATGAATTGAGGAGAGAGTGATTCCAGACAGGGAGATCAGCTAGGACAGGAAGCTACTAGGCTGTCCAAGAATGACATGATAAGGACCGAAATGATAGAGCTGCCTGGGAAATATAAGCCAAGTGTGAACCTGAGGCACATTTTGAGGAAAGGAATTATGGGACTTGGTATTGGATTAGATTAAAGGAAGAAAAGGTCAACTTTAACAATGCTGATTTGGCCTGAGAGAGGACAAAAGATACATAAAAGAATCAAGCCCAAATCCTAATCGTATTGTGGCTAAAGTACTTCCCAACACCCTGCTGGATTTTTAGAAAACAGAATTCAACAATGAGAGTCAGTCATATCCCTTCAAGTGTTTTCAATTAAATGACACGAGACTAAACAATTTTAAGATTCCTTTGAGCACAAACCTAAAATGTTAAGTTCATATGTATGCCATGTTCAATTGTCAAGTGGTCAAAAAAAAAAAAAAAAAGTTCCAGTCTCATAATTAGGAAAGTTGATAATTAAAAGAATTAATTCTTTAATCTAAAATTTCTGAAGGAAGCATGAACAGTTTCCTGGTAAACTTCATTAAAATGTCCTACATTAAATCTTGCTTTTACAGTTTCACATTCAACAACAAGCTAGAAATCACACATTTTCAGATTCTAAGGAAAAACTAGTTTTAGATTTATTTGCTTTCCTTTCAAATGCGTTAGTGCCGAAGGGCTCTGACAATTACAAGTCACTGTTTTGCAAAGAAAAAAAGGACTGTAAAAAATTGAGTGCATGATATATATATATATATCTTAAAAGCAAAACAACAACAAAAAAAAAACCTGCCTGTTTGATTTTTTCCAGGTGACATTTACAAAGAGGAAATTTGGGTTGATGAAGAAGGCTTACGAGTTGAGTGTGCTGTGTGACTGTGAGATTGCACTGATCATCTTCAACAGCACCAACAAGCTGTTCCAGTATGCCAGCACCGACATGGACAAGGTGCTGCTGAAATACACGGAGTACAACGAGCCGCATGAGAGCCGGACAAACTCAGACATTGTGGAGGTGAGCCCCGAGCTCCAGCAGAGCTTCCTGGTGTGGTCCTTCCCCTGCCACACATGCAGACACAGGCGTGCACACATGTACCTTCCTTTTCTTATGAGGTTCATATTCCCACAGATATATCAGTTGTTCTTCCATTCCAACTCTGTGCTCTTCTTTCCCCCCCAAATGTAAGTTAGAGTAGGCAATATACAATCAAATCCTTACAGAAATCAAGTAACAGTGTCATTTCTTGCCATATCCTGCGTATGAGTGATTATTGCCTACCAATGTGACACCATGGCTGGGAACTGTGACTAGAGGACAGCTTACTACATTTTAGATAGTGTTTGACAGGTTTTAAATTTAAATAATAATTTCCTAATATAGTCAAAGAAAAATATATTGACATATAAGCTAATCCAAATCTTACTCTTCATTTTTTCCCCTTGTGTCACATTTTTTTCTAATTAATTCTTCCTAGTGATTACTGATAGCAAAGTGAAGAAAATTGTTTTCCCCAAAATTTTATAACAATGAATGCTGTTAATATACATGAAATCAGAAACCTACTGAAATGGATTTTTCAGTACTAGCTCAAGTGTTTTATTAAAGTGTAATTTAAAACATTGTTTAATTGTGCTATAAACAAATACACCTCCTGTTAAAATTCTTTTAAAAAAAAATTTTTTTTTGAGATTCATTAGCACAAGTGATATTGCCAAACAATTTTGGTTGACACTTTTTTAAACCTTTTCAACATGTATCTAATTTAAATGTTAGTGCCCTGTATGTACCGTTCATAAGCAATGAATTCTAAACTGGAAAAAGACGTGTAATGAAAACTCTTCCCCTTTGTCTGTTTTCCTCTCCCACCTACCTATTTCTGGTTTCCTAGATTCTGTGTGCTTTCCCATAATTAAAATAAAATTCATATTTTTTAAATTAAGTATGTATTCAGGGTCATAAAGAGTACAATTAATTTTTTTCCCATTATTTATACTAAGTTCTTAAGGAGCCCTGATGTGACACTGTAGAATAAACACTGGACTTTTAACCACTACATTGGCAGTTCAGAGTCACCAGCCACTTTCAGAAACCCTGTTGTTGATTAGTGCTGTTGAATCGGTTCCGACTCATAGCGACCCTGTATAGGGTTTTCAAGGAACAGCTGGTGAGCTTGAACTTAGCAGTTCACATGACTTTGCAGTCTGGCGCATTAACCCACAGTGCCACACCAGGACTTCAGAAACCCTGTACAGTGTCACTATGAGTTGAAACTGACTTGGTGGCACTTAACGACAACAACAATACTATGAAAAAAAATCTAATACTAATGCTGATCAACGACTTCTGGTGTGGCACTGTGCTTTAAAGTGCTGGACTGCAAAGTCGTTTTGAACTGCAAGGTCAGCGGTTCAAGCTCACCAGTTGCTCCCCGGAAACCCTATACAGGGTCGCTATGGGTTTGAACTGACTCAGTGGCACTTAACAACAAAACACAATGCTAATCAAATGAATCTACCACAACCATAGATCCTGGTGTGGGCTTGTTGACTAAACACTGGACTGCTAACAACTGTTGTGGTTCAAATTCACCAACTGCTCCTAAGTGTATGTAGGGTAGCTATGAACAAGAATGGACTTGACAGCACTTAATAACAACAACAGCTACATCCATTGTCCTCTTACACATCCTGCCTATAACTAGTAGTCAGTTTTCTATTTTTATTTGGAAGCTTTTCAAAAGTATTGAGCTGACGAATTTAGTTTTGCCTAACAAAGTCAAGCAAATAATTTCAGAGGAAAGGATGCTAGGTAGACCTCTAAAGTGGTATGAGCTTAAAATAGTTTTGAATGTTCATAGTTGCTTATCATTTTATTCACTTTTTATTGAATTGTGTGTTGCTTTGATACTGAAATTCAAGATCATTTATATAGTTTACTTGCTATGTCTTTCATGTGGTATTTTATCGACTCACAAAAAATATGTAAACATGAATGTGAGTGTAACTAGTCACTTGTTAAATCTCATAGGTTCTTGTGTGTGTGTTTACATATATTTATCATAAATTCTAGAAACAAGACATACTCATATTCAAATCTCCGTTTCTTTATGGAAACCATTACAAAAAAGTTTCAGAGTAAGAAAATAATTTGCGTTAGATTACGTCATTAGACTTGAACTGTACCACTTGTTAAGTTGCTTTCTTAAAGTAGTTGAAACTCTAGAAAATGCCTCTTCTGAAGGTTTCTCTAGGAATTATGCAATCTCTTTTCTATGATCTAAAGTCTGATTTAAAATGTCATAAAATGTAGGAAACTTTTTTTTTTTGAGGGGCAGATGATTATCTGATGTCAGCCTGCTTTAGGGCTATCAGAAGAAGTCAGAGAGCTTGCATTAGATTCTTTCTTTTGCACTATTTTACTGGTTTGGCACTTGCCTGCTAATTGCAAGGTCGGTGATTCAAACACACCAGTAGGTCCATGGAAATTCTATACAGGGTCACCATGAAATGGAACCGACTCCACAGCAGTTAGCAACAACAACAACATGTAATAAGTTAGCTAACTCTTTGGCTTTTCCTCATCTCAAAAATAAAAGAATTTAATTTAAAATGCCTTCCCTAAAATTATAATTCTTTAAAAAGCAGAACTTTTTAAAATTTATTGGAACATACATCACTATTTACCTCTGTCCCATTTAGTCCTTGCAAAGCTGTTCAGTGTTCCCCTCTCTACCTTGTTCTTCCAACCCCCTTCCCCTTCTTCTGTATTGCCCTCCCCCGCCCAACACTGGAACTATGATGTGTCTATCCCCTACCTTGTGCTCTACCTCACCCCCACCTCTCCTACTCCCCTACAGGTAAGCAATACCTTTAAGAAAACAAAACAGCAGCTTCATTTTCTTGAATTTAACTTTAACAGATTAAAATGTATGACTATGAAAATGACATTCTGGGCCTGCTAGGACAAATCTAGAGACTTGACTATTGCATTCTGTCGATTAACACAAGATTTTAAAAGTCAGAGGTATTGTGAGTTTATCCTGTTCTACTACCTGATCACATTTTGCTCACATATTTGACTTTTCCACATTTTGGTAGTAACAGGATGATAGAAAAGAAGTTAAGTTGGGTACAATTTTACATTACTCACATGGAGAAATTTTCAAAGTGCAGATCATCAAAATCAGGATATTTTGGATAGTGGGTGGAGACGAGAGAACCTGGGTGGGAAGCTGCATTTAAAACAGGTTTGCCATTTAAGTATGTAAGTCTCTGTAGTACCCAGAGATAAAATGTGTTAGAAGTTTAAGAAACTGTGATGCATCAGGGACCTGAGGAATCCATTCCTAGAATGGATCTAACGTGAAGTTGAGAGTTATGGTAGTTTACTACTCTTGGGTAAAATTTTAAATCCTATTTATTTTAATTTAATGGAATGCATTTAACTGAGCAAGTTTAATGAGGAGCATAATATGTTTCATGAAGGGTCATTAGTTTTATATTCCCCATTTGGACCATTACCTCTCTCCCTTAACCCTCTAAAAAGAGTTTACTCACAAGAAAAAGAAAATGAGGAGAGAAAGCGAGAAATAATAAGATTCCCAACATTTAGACTGAAATACAAATTTCTGGGCCATACCAGAGTAATGTTACAGGGTCATAGGAAATTGTGTAGGCGCGTGGGTGTTGAAAAAGATTCCTTCTTTTAGCAAAAAAGCTCTGCGTAATTATCATGTCTTTGCTTGATAATTAGCACTACTGTTACAATAGTACAAAGACTCACAATGGCTTAACAGACAGAGAGAGTTTCTTTTTTTATATTATTACATTATAATGCAGCATGAATATCTGTTTAGGTACAATATATAAATATGCCAGATTTAGTAAATGTGTTAAATTTTTAATCCATTGGTTAAAAAAAAAAAGGAAAACAAAAACAGTTATTGTATTAAAAGCACTTCTTTTGAAGAAAGTCCATTTTATTTAACTTTGACATGCGTATTAAGCATTTGCTCAAAATGCTGGCTTTATGAGGTTGTTGAAATTCAGTAGGGATTCTGATGGCATTAATGAATGCCCCCTTCACTACTTCCAACTCTCTAAATCCATGCCTAGTTCTCTGAGCTGCCTTCCTACCCTAAGTGTTTATGTTGGGCACTGTTACTGGAAGAAGATATGGTTGTTAAGCAGTCAGGATGACCTGATGAACACAAGTCCCGCAGGACATGCTTAAGACTCATTCCTTTATCCAGCAACCAATTAGCTAGCAAATACTGGCCAGTTGTCAATGCTGTGCAAGGGATCTGAAAAGGAAAAGTCCGGCATTCTTATTAAGGCTGTAAAACATGTATACAAAAATCAGCTTGGGAACAGTCGAAAGACAAAGGAACAGTAACTTTGTTAATGTAGTGCAAGGTACCAAAATGAAGGCATGAGACAAACAACTCAATCAAACATTCATCCAAGCAGGTCATGTGATCTGTCAGATCATTCCAGGTGATCTTTGGAGTGGCAGGAGTCCCAGACATATTACCACTATATCCAGCACATGATATAGCCACACAAGCCTTATGAGAATGTCATTTAGCACCCATCCAGGAAGAAACCTCTCATCCTTCAGTGACTCAGAAATTTGACTGAGCTGCTCATTTAGTCAGGGCTGAAGTGGAATGACTAAGCATAAAAGGGGAGTGAAAACATGAGACCCTCTGCTGCTCCTCAGGAAATTCAAACTTGAGTTATAACTCCTGGGGAAGAATCGTTGATTCATTAGAGGATTGTTGACTTTTTACAATCATTTTTTTAGTATACAATAATGGATAAGAATTGTATGTTTCTGTTTCTGAGAGATAGTGTTTACATGAATTGTTATATTCTGTCACCTGAATCCTGTTTGGATTTAGACACATCTAAGAACTGCTGTCCAAGTAAATGTTTTCTTTGCACAGTAATAATTAAGACCTGAATTAGGACTGCTGTTTAGTGCTGTGGAGTCAGTTCCGAATACTCACGACC